CATTGGTGGGGGGTGACAGGGGAACATTGGTGGGGGTGGCAGGGGAACATTGGTGGGGGTGACAGGGGAAACTTTGATGGGGGTGGCAGGGGAACATTGGTGGGAGGTGACAGGGAAACTTTGATGGGGGTGGCAGGGGAACATTGGTGGGGGTGACAGGGAAACTTTGAAGGGGGTGACAGGGGAACATTGGTGGGGGGGGCAGGGGAACATTGGTGGGGGTGGCAGGGGAACATTGGTGGGGGTGACAGGGAAACTTTGAAGGGGGTGGCAGGGGAACATTGGTGGGGGTGGCAGGGGAACATTGGTGGGGGTGGCAGGGGAACATTGGTGGGGGTGACAGGGAAACTTTGAAGGGGGTGGCAGGGGAACATTGGTGGGGGTGGCAGGGGAACATTGATGGGGGTGACAGGGAAACTTTGAAGGGGGTGGCAGGGGAACATTGGTGGGGGTGGCAGGGGAACATTGGTGGGGGTGGCAGGGGAACATTGATGGGGGTGGCAGGGGAACATTGGTGGGGGTGGCAGGGGAACATTGGTGGGGGTGGCAGGGGAACATTGATGGGGGTGGCAGGGGAACATTGGTGGGGGTGGCAGGGAACATTGGTGGGGGTGGCAGGGGAACATTGATGGGGGTGGCAGGGGAACATTGGTGGGGGTGGCAGGGGAACATTGATGGGGGTGGCAGGGGAACATTGGTGGGGGTGGCAGGGGAACATTGATGGGGGTGGCAGGGAAACTTTGATGGGAGGCAGTAGAAATTTTGTTTTTGTTTTTTATCATTATTTGCTGCCACAGACGTGGCCAACATTTACAATGCTAACCATCATATAAACATGTTCTTCTGTCCTCCATGAACAAGGTTAGAGATCTATAGTTCAGTGATTTATTGAACAGTCAACTACAGAAGGTGATTGTAGTGCTTTTAAAATGCTAATCTTACCTACATACATAAATACACAGATTTACGTCTGTCCTACATAAACAGTGTTCGAGGTCTCTTTTTACATAGTATCATTAATGTGCGTTTACAAAGGTGAAATGTAATTCTGACCACCTTCCACACATCCTGCATACACACACACTCATCATTGACCAAAGAGCCAGAGCTTAATCCCCGCAAGCACAAATAGGTGAGTACACACACACACGGAATTGACAGAGTAGATAAAGGCAGGCTATTTAACACAAGGAGCACACGCACTAGGGGACACAGGTGGAAACTGAGTGCCCAAATGAGCCATAAAGATATTAGAAATAATTTTTTTAGTGTCAGAGTAGTTGACAAATGGCATGCATTAGGAGGTGATGTGGTAGAGGCTGACTCCATACACAGTTTCAGATGTAGATATGACAGTCATATTTGATACAACTAGGTGAGTACACACACACACATATTATAATTATATATATATATATATATATATATATATATATATATATATATATATATATATATATATATATATATATATATAATCATTATCCTGGACAAGCCTACTAAATCCCTGACCGTGTCCTGATAAGCCTATTAGATATTTAATGTCTTGCAGTGAAAGACATAATTTGTGTCTGTGTCTTTGTGAGAGTGTCTGTCCTCGTGTTTGGACAAGTTCTTAGACACGTATAGAGTTCTTAGTGTCTCATTCTGCTTACAATTAATAATTAAATGCTAAATTTCCTCGACATCATTCACTCGTATATATCACTCCTCTCATTCTTCCCTCTTATATATCACTCTTCTCATTCCATTATAATGTGTCTGATCACCATGTTCTGCCCTCCAGCCCTGGTACTCCACACCTAATGTTAACTTTCCTAATATTCTGCATCTCTCTCTCTCTCTCTCTCTCTCTCTCTCTCTCTCTCTCTCTCTCTCTCTCTCTCTCTCTCTCTCTCTCTCTCTCTCTCTCTCTCGTTTACTCATCACTCTCACGTCTCTTTCTCTCACCCCTCTCTTCATTTTCACCTCCTCTTCTCTCTCCCTCTAACTGTGTCCGTTTATCTCTCAATCCTCGCACTCTCTCTTCACTTTCATCTCCCTCTGCTCTCGCCCTCCCTACCTCTACCCCTCACACCCCCTCTCTCACCCTCCCTACCACCGAGGAGGAGCCAATCGGAACCTTTGGTGTATTGCATTTTGCCTGATCATTACTTGGCCAATTTACCGGCTGAGAGAGTGGCCTCTAGGGGCCTGGGAGAGTGTAGTGGTGGTGGTGTTGCTGCTGGTGGTGGTGCAGGAGAGGGGAGAGTGTGGTGGTGGTGGTGGTGCAGGTGAAAGGAGAGTGTGGTAGTGGTGGTGGTGAGGGGAGAGTGTAGTGGTGGTACCATTCAAGTATCAATGTGACGCCCACCCACAAAATTCAGCTCAGTAACACTTCCATTTACCCCGTCACCAGCACCAACATTTTAGGCTTCGTACACTCCAGGAACACCACTGGGCAAAGGGCGAAAGTCACTCTCCCTGTAAACATTTACTTTTCCTCTTGTCCCACACGACAAGCCGCTGTAACATGTCTCGGAAACCCGGACTTACAGCAGGTGCTGGACTGTCCTGTATACAAGAAATGCAAGTTGTGGCCCCATGACCGACACAGCAAAAGGCCCATTTCTGGACAGCTGTACTCGCACCGTCCGATTCCCATTGAATATTCCCTCAGCCGGGCCAGACGTGAACTTGTACTCCGTGCACCTTACCACGCCACAATAGAATTCCAGATATCAGACAGTTATCCATCTCAAATGACGCCTTCCTCATCAATACATTCGTGTAAACTTTGCTCAAGTGTGACTTAGTACCCATTTCATTAGGCATGAAACGCCTGATTCTCACACAGGTCCACAAACCTGGGTATCAGCCGTCTGTTTTAAACTTTACTACTACCCAGCCAGTCTGCAATCGTTGTATTCCAATGAGATCATTCAGTGGAGAGCGTAGTACATCTACCAACACAGTGCTCACAGCAGCATAATCTACATTGCAGGACAACTCCAATCCTGCGAATGACAATAGCCGCAGTTGTGGGTGGAACCTCATACGTCAAACCCCGCCCCAACACTCTTCACGCACCAAGTGTCATCTTCTTGAAGTATGTTATCGAATCTTTTCATGTTTTATTTGTAAAACTGTTATTGATTTTTGCCTTCTGCTTTGTATCTAATAATTCATTTTAGTACTAATGATGGAGTATTGACTCTGAAATGTCCGTTCTAAATAAATTGAAGAATATGTATATCTTTATATATGTTCACTGTTCGTATATACTAAGCCGACAAACATTGGAGTGAACCATGCCGTCCAGGATCACCTCTAAACGTACACAGTACCGTAACCACCGCACCAATGGTCGTCTATAAGGATTGGTCAGTCCTGGTGCTTATTGACTAGGCTCCACGACTGAGCAACTCCCTTACCTTGAGGTTACCTTGAGGTGCTTCCGGTACGACACTTCCCGTGTTAGTGTACGACACTAACAATTGACAGACTTCCCGACGACACTCGTGGATCCATTTGGGTACAGTTTTCATCAAATTCTAGCACATGCCAGAATCCCAAGCTTATGTTCTTGGGAACATAAGTTGCCCATGTTGATATGTTTAATAACCTTATGTTATGCAATTCATCCACGTGTTCTTTTTTGTTTGGGGGGGGGGAGGTTACATTTGGATCCTTCTTAACCGCTCTCTGTACCTGTGGGCCATGTGGATGGATTTTGTTGCTGTGGGCCCTCATCAGCCACTTCTCATGGGCAGTGAGTAACGCCTTTTCGTCAGAGGTAGCACGGTGGTTTACTTTCCTTTTAATAATATCCTCAAATAATCCATTAGGGTATCCATTGAAATTCATGCTGGGAGTCACCGTATTAAGTGGCCGACGACAATAGAGGCAGGGTCCCAGGAGCTGAAGCTCGATCCCCGTAAATACGACTTGGGTATTCACAGAGAAAATATATTGCAAACAGACTCGTAACTAGCCGCACTCTCTCCCTGTGCTATAAACACACTGGCCCAACTCGGCTCGGCATATCTCGCGCGCCACCCAACATTCGCACAATTCTATTCTCGATACTCACCAGCAACATTAACAGTTTCTTTTTTGTTACCCAATCTGCACACGACCCCTTCACTACGAGGTTACTGCATCGTTACTGGGGGAGGGGTGGGGGGGGGGGAAGGTAGGGGGTGAGAGATTGTTGGGAGAAGGGAGATGGTGAGAGATGTATACACACAAGGTACATAACACTGATGTTACATTCTTGTAAAGCCACACGCACACAGCGTTTCCGACAGGAGGCCCGAAACACGTTGCTTAACAATACTTTAATAAGAAAAGATATATTAATATATGTTTTTGTTTTCTCGCAGATGTACGTGGCGACACTTGCAACACGTGTTGGTACTTGAGATATAAGATGAGGCTTACCTCCAAGGGTGAGGACGGAGATGCCCAGGGCGGAGTCATGATGGCCCTCAGCCCGGCACTGGTACACGCCCACGTCTGCCACGCCCACGCCCTCTATCTTGAGCACACGCCCGCGTCCGTCAGGCATCCTCACGCGCGCCCCGGGCCGCAATATATTGCCATCCTTAAGCCAGGTTACCTGGTTGACCGGGGACCCTGCAGGAGTAACCAGGGATATGAGAGAGTGAGAGAGAGAGAGAGAGAGAGAGAGAGAGAGAGAGAGAGAGAGAGAGAGAGAGAGAGAGAGAGAGAGAGAGAGAGGGAGAGAGAGAGAGAGTGCTGTAGCACCCTCTAATAGCTAATCAAAATCGCGTTCGACCCTTTTTGACGGTCGAATACATGAGATGATTAGATGGTGGTTGAGTGGTGAGTGGGGTGAGGGGAGAGTTAGTTGGAGACGCTGACCTAGAGTGGAGAGGGGGGCGTGTGTGGTAGAGTGAAAGTAAGTCAGGCTGAGTTACTAAGCTACTCTAACCACCAAGTCACTCACCACAAAGTTACTCAAACAACTAAGTCATTAAAACATTGTCACTTAAACCACTAATTCAGTCTAAGTCACCCTAACCATTAACTTATTCTAACCACTAAGCTTGCGTAATCACGAAGTCACTAACAATTTAGTATAACAAAACTATTAAGTTACTAAAAAAACACTAAGTTACTCTAACCACACATTTAATCTATGTTACTCTCACCGTTAAATCACTCAAACCACAAAGTCACTTTAATAACTAAGATATTTTAAGTTACATTCACCACTTAGTCACTCAAGCCACAAAGTTACTGTCACCACTATGTCATTGTCATCACTACGTCACTCTGACCACTAAGCCATTCTCACCACTAACTACTGTCACTCTAACCACTTCAGTTAAGTCGCTTAAAACACAAAGTTACTCTCACTAATAAATCACTAACCATCAAGCTAACATAACACCACTAACCGCTCTCTACTGTAATATTGTAACCACTACTCTCTCTCGGACCATTTTTCATGCAAACAGTCACTCTGGTAGCAGTCACTCTGGTAGCAGTCACTCTGGTAACAGTCACTCTGGTAACAGTCACTCTGGTAACAGTCACTCTGGTAACAGTCACTCTGCTAACAGTCACTCTGGTAACAGTCTCCCTGGTAACATTCTTTATACTAACAGTCTCCATGGTAACATTCATCATACCAACAGCCTCTGGCAGCAGTCTCCAATGTAACAGTCTGCCTGGTTGTAATCTCCCTGGTAACAGTCTCTTTGGTAGCATTGCCTATAGTAACAGTCTCCCTTACAACAGTCTCCACGGTAACCATGTAGGCTTTAGGCTCACCTGAGATAACGCAGGTGAAGTGAGCAGGGGCGCCCGCGTCCACCACTACGGACGGCGGCGTCACGCGCACAGAGAGCGCCGAGAGCACCTCCAGCTCCACCTGACGGAGGATAAACACAGGACACGTCAGGGCATAAGATCACACATAACTCCTTCAGGACTGGTAATCCTGCCCGTAGAAGGTGGAGTTGGTGATGGTGAATATGGAATCACCTTTTGACGTCAAAACACTTAAGGTTAGCAGAAAATGCAATTATAATTTGATCTATAATATCTGGCTTGCGGGTTACTTAATTGTCTGCAAGGCGAAGCCAAAAAGGGTCCTGGAGGTAACATGCAAGAAGGGATCAGGAAGGAAAATACTTGAAGGCACTTCAGTTGCTGAAGGAGACTGTAGTAGCTTCAAGTATTTTCTTTTCGGGTATTTTCAACCAGCAGGAGGATGAGTTTGCTGGAAAAGAGTTAAGCTGCTTATGAACATGATCAAGAGGGCAAAATGATCACATAAGTCCATGAAAAGGATACCATTTGCTAGATAAATATGTTCAACAACTGGCCTCCACTGACTATCTAGCTCACTTACTAACTGTAGCCTCAAAGGTGCTACATAAAAAGGTCGGTTTTCACACAAGCACCGAGACATCAACCACCGGTCCCTAGTGGTGCTTAATCAGGCCAGCTCTCACACAAGCACCTGGGACTTCAGCCACTGGCCCCTACTGCTGCATAGATAGGCTAGTTCTCGCACAGTCGCCTGGGGCTTACTTACTGCCTCTTTGAACTTATCATTGTTCACGGAAAGACGGCTACATTCCCTTCAGGCTTCAACTGTAGACCAAACTGCGGTTGTGAGTAACTCCTTGGTCTGCCTGCTAGCTGGTGTTCTTCATACATGGTGCTTGGTGAAACTCCCGAGTTTACACAATCCCAAAGTTGTCTTTTTTTTCGCTACTCCGAGTTTACACTAACTTCAGAGCTACAGCTTCCTTCGACATCACGACACTTTTGTTACTTTCCTGGTACACTTGTACTTTGGCTACTGTGGCTGGTGTATGATGTGTTCAAACTGTATAATATCTTGGCTGATTAGCCTAGTATCACGAATATTATAATATCCAATTAATCTTATTTCGACAGTACACTAGTATAAATTGTGTATTGCCAATGTATGTCAAATATACCTATGTATGTTATATTTCTGTACCATAAGTTTTTGCCATGTATTTGTGGATATATATTGGAATTGTAGAAATAGCAGTAGCCTAATGTCTTGTAGCTTGGAAAAAACCATTATGTGCTTTTATTATGGAATGCTACATATTGCTGCATATAACATGCTATGTATATTATCATGTAGAAGGTATACATTTAGGTATCCGATATATTATTCGCATGTATACTGTGTACACATTATTTATACCATTTCATTATTGCTCATTGCATTGTCCTCTTGTCATGTCAGTAATTTATAGTCTGGTATTGTGAGATATATACCACAGAGACAAGGTTTTGATAGTTATTTTGTATATGATAATGTATTTTGTATATGTACATTGTATTTATGTATACATACAGTATGTATAATGGCTGACCGCTAAAGTCTTGAAATCCTCCCTTAACCCTCCCCCCCTCCCCTTTGCGTACCGTCCCAGCCAGTGTTACCATGTCTGGCTAATATGAATTCCCTGTTCACTTATTTATATATCATGATATAATTTATTATGTAGTGATTTATTGATATGTATTATTATGTAAGGTTGTGTATTATAACCCTTGTTTAGTTATATTATGAATTAGAAATTATTTACTGAGAAATGTCTGTATATGAGCTTGTGATATATGAAAGAGTCAACTGACTTGTGGATTTGGAAACAGTGTCGCCCCCGGCCAGCTTGCCTCCTGGGCGGTCACTAATTTTTGATCTTCCTAGTCAGGCGGATGTGCTGTCACTCCGGTCCGGGGTTAGTGGCCTTATTTGTGTTAATTGACTGCTAGGATATTTAATATGTTGCAGTAGAGTATACCATGGATCATTTCTACCGTTGTACTTCATTTATACCAGGTGGTAGGTGCTTTTATATGTATTATTGAGGTGGGTACCTGAGGGTCTGAAGTGATGTCATTGTGCTGTGTATGATATTGATTCCTCAACCTCATTTGTTAATGATTGTGACACCTCCATCCTGTACTGGTATTATCAGCATGATAGGCGCTAGTGTCCCACTGTGCCAAGATACTCTGGTGTCAGCTAGTGCTGAGTGTATGAAGTTTTGAAGCTTGGTGATGATCATGTACAGCTTTAAGAAGCTGGATAAAGCAATATAATGTGAGTTTTCTTATGGTGTTATGGTGACTTATGTTATATGCCCCAGTAAACTGGAGTATTTTTTGCTAGCCTTTGACTCCCCTAGACACCTATTCATATTTGGCCAGGCTACGTTTTCTAGCGATGGTGTAGGTTCATTATCCCATAACATTAAATGGGGGGCACATAACACTACTGTCACACTCCTTTTATGGTTTGTGATTATGAAGTTGCCAAAGAGTGTGCAAGAGTTACGTACACCAGCCGGCAGGTGTGGATTTGGGAACGTCTTAGTCATTTAAGTATCTTGGGCAATCCTCGGCCTTCCTTGCAAAATGCTCTGACCTTCCATCACGTTCCCACGGTACGTGTCCTGATCTGTTGAGATGACAACACCTCTTCGTCAACTTTCCCAACATTCTGCATATCGTTGCCTTCTAAGTTCCTCCTCCCCACCAGATCTTCCCTAGAATCCCCAAACGACATTCATAATGACCTTACCTAATTTCGTCTAAGTTAAACAAGATGCCACAAACAACTAAGAGCAAAAACAAGTTTACTGAATGAGAACAAGTCTCCCCTAGGAGTCAAAAGGCCCAGCTGCAACTGTCAACTGGGACACTACAGGTTTACTGACGGCTGGTCACAAGGATCTGACCGTAGTCTCCCACCAACCTGCAAGACGGCGACACCCTCTGTATTGTTGGCATAACAGCGGTAGGTGCCGGCGTCAGCGTCCTCTGTCGTCAGCAGGTTGAGGACGGGGCCGGAGACCTTCATCCTGGCCGCCTGCAGCCCTCCTCCAGCGCCCCCAACACCGCCCAGGGGAATGTCCACGCCGCTTCCTTGCTGGTACCACCTGGTGACATGTACAGTGTATTTCATGGTTTTATTTTTGAAGAAAAAGGAAATGGATATTATTATTTTTCACTCTTCAATGTAGAATTATATAAAACTCTTTCGAATCTTTGTTAAGAAATAGAATAAGAATGAGATTGCTGTTTACAGAAGAACTATAGAACAAAAAGAGTTAGGCCCACAACATGGAGCATGACACTGACAACAAACGGGAACTGTTACTTCAGACAAAGTCGAAATAAACAAGAATTATTGTAAGGTATGAGAAACTGTCCCACTCAGCATGCCATGTGCGATGGTGTATGGTATGACACTGGATGGTACAGCATTGTCTATGGAATGGTATGATTTATTATGAGTGATATTGATTTGATTGGAATGGACTAGTTTAGGTGGGTGTGGAACAATACGGTAAGAATTGGTGTGATGATATGGAAGCATGTGGTGCGATATAATATGGAATGGTTGGGTAAGATGATGTGTGGGATGACGTGTGAGGGTGGGATGACGTGAGGGTACGGACGTGATGGTGGGCGTGGGGTTGCCCTGGGCAGGGCACAGGAGCGTGGCGGTGGTGCCCCGCTGTACCCGTATAACCGACTCCATCTCTGGTATCCGCGGGGCTGACTTCGTCCTCAGATCTATAATAACAAAGTAAACAGTTTTAGAAGAAACTTTTTTTTTATAAAAAGTTTAAAAAAATGAATTTGTTGTGTAAAGAGATAAGGATGAAAAATTTGAATAATAGTAATTCATTGTTGGGGGACAGGTATCCAGAGTGCGTGTATTATATATATATATATATATATATATATATATATATATATATATATATATATATATATATATATATATATATATATATATATATATATATATATATGACAATGTCAGACCACGGAGGAAAAATGAAACAGGAATTTCCTTAAGTACTTTCGTATATTAATACATCTTCAGAAGGAGTCTCCTTCTGAAGATGTATTAATATACGAAAGTACTTAAGGAAATTCCTGTTTCATTTTTCCTCCGTGGTCTGACATTGTCATATATATATATATATATATATATATATATATATATATATATATATATATATATATATATATATATATATATATATATATATATATATATATATATATATAATACACGCACTCTGGATACCTGTCCCCCAACAATGAATTACTATTATTCAAATTTTTCATCCTTATCTCTTAGCCAGGATTCTGCCCGAAACGCTGCGCGTGCTAGTGGCTTTACAAGACTGTAATTACCATATTATGTATCCTCACATTCCCAATGTACATTCTTGTATATGCATAAATAAATAAATAAATAAATATTAGGCTTTTCTCGAGGCCCTCCTCCCAAGGTCGAACTGTTACTTGAGACAAAGTCGAAATGCACAAGAATTATTGTAAGGCATGAGGAACTGTCACAGTTTTGTCCCAGACTGTCCCCGGTTTATATAATACACAACAACAAAAATCTTTCTAATGTCTCTGTGGCTCATTTGGCCACTAAGTTTTTATCTTTGTCCTTTTGTTCGTATTCCACCCATGCTAAATAGTTTGTCTTTGTCCACTGTCAATTCTGAGAATTTTGTAGGTGGTGATCATGTCGCCCCTAACTCTTCTGTCTTCTAGGGAAATGTGGTTTAGTTACCGCAACGTTTCCTCGTAACTCATACCTCTCAGTTCTGGCACTAGTTTGGTGGCATATCTCTGAATCCTCTCTAACTTTGTTTTGTGTTTAACTAGGTATGGACTCCAGGCTGGAGCTGCATATTCCAGGATTGATCTGACAAAAGTGGTATACAAGGTTCTGAATGATTCCTTACACAAGTTTCTAAAGGCAGTTCTTATGTTTTCCAATCTAGCATAGGCCGCTGATGATATCCTTTTGATGTAGACTTCTGGGGATAGGTTCTATGTGATATCAATCCCCAGAATTTCAAATGTGCGTGTGTGCTTGTTTGTGTGTGTGTGTGTTTAAGTGTGAGGGTATTCACCTAGTTGTGCTTGTGGGGGTTGAGCTCTGGCTCTTTTGACCCGCCTCTCAACTATCAATCAACTTTTTTTTCACACATTTGAAATTGTTAGTTGAAATACAGTTGAGAGGCGGGACCAAAGAACCAGAGCTCAACCCCTGCAAGCACAACTAGGTACGTACACACAGGAAGCAGCCCGTAACAGCTGTCTAACTCCCAGGTACCTATTTACTGCTTGGCGAACAGGGGCATCAGGGTGAAACAAACTCTGCCCATTTGTTTCCACCATGGCCGGTGATCGATCCCCGGTCCTTAGGATTACGAATCCTATTCGCTGTCCACTCAGCCGCAGGCCCTGTGTGTGTAAGTGTAAGAGTGTGTGTGTTATGTGCGTGCGCGTACATGTGTATGCTTGAGCGTGTGCGCGGCAGCATCAGGGTATAGGACACAATGCTCCAGCACATCAAAGAACTCCATAACGGAGACAATTCCTGAAGGACTGAGCAATATCTGAAAATTTGCTTTTTCCTATCCAGCTGCCCCGTGAATGGTAAGATTCTCAAATAGCCCTTTCGCCTCCCCTGCGTTCCCATCCTCTTCCTCTCCAACACTTACCCATGGATGAGTCCCAGCACCATACCTCTAATCTACTCTGAGGGAAAATCTCATTGATATGTTTCTTATAACGTAGGATTATAAGGGCTAAGTGGGTGTGTCATGGGCGGTGAAAGGGCATATGAAGGTCCAGGGCCGAGGCACCTCGCAAGACCTTTGGAACCATGGAGTAAGAGTAGGTGGGAGAGGAGGAGATGGAGGTAGGAGAGGTGGAGGTGGTGGGAGGTGGAGGTGAAAGGTTGACGGGGGAGTAGTAGGAAGACGAGGACCATTCATATTTCTGATGATAGCCTGGGTCATGAATATTTGCTTTTAGGTGGAAAGTGGAGAGAGAGAGAGAGAGAGAGAGAGATAACAAAGATGAGAAACTTTTCCTTTTTTCTATATTCTTCCTATTCTAGTGTGTCCAACATGAAGGTAACTCTTAAATGTCCCTCTGAGGCTTCCCAGCCAACTTCCCCGAACGGAAGATATCGCGGAACAATGGTATCCAATTTTTCTTTCTCTGCTTTTCTTCCTTCTCTTTTCAACTCTGTTGCTGTATCTCTCACTCACCGTCTTTCTTAATCTCTTTCTCTTTGTGAACTATCAATGCTTAAAGAGTTTTTACCTTAAATGACAAATATTTTCATCAAAGGCAACATGGGGTCAAGTATTACGCTCCTCACAGCACCTAATCGTATATACCGTGAGGGACTCTGGGAGGGCTCTGGTGTACACAACAGCTTGAATGCGTTTGAGCTCCTGCCTTGATAGGTCCAAGTTTTACGGACACACACTCTATAAACGTTTGAAGCATTGTGTTGGTAAGAGCATGTTGTTGCCCCGGCTGTGTTTTCTGCGGGCCTCGTATCTGAAGAGCTTTCATTAATGCACTCATTTCAAATATTACATGAAAGCTATCTCAATTGACCGAAATTATATTTTATTTATACTTTAAGAGAGAATGTTTGTCTGAGAAACGCAACAGGCAGAGAGACAGGCCTAGACAGACAGAAAGACAGAGAGGGGGGGGGGGCAGACAGAAACACGTGACGGTGGGCACGGTGTTGGCCATTGACACCACCGTTGGCACTGTAGTGTTCTGGTCTTGCTCTCACTCTCGTGGTGGGTAGTGTGAATCACACTATCGCGCCACCTCACAGCCCTGCTGGATTTTCTCATTGATATATATGACGATAGTGTGATTTATGTGTGTTGTTAATAATAATAATAAGAGTAAGAACAATAATAATAATAATAATAAAATCCGTAGGAGGATTCAAACCTATGCGGTAGGTATTCCTACGCACACGTCCCACACAACCATGTCACATGTTTACTGTGTAGTAATAATAATAATAATCGTAGCAGTAATTACTTAAATTGTGCAACATCTCGGTAAAAAAAGTTCCCCATTCTGCCAAGTATTTCATCTTGATCATCTTGATCAAAAGTTCCCCTCTCCTGCGAGTTTACAATCTACAAGTTTTCTGCCGTTTGAGATAATTAATTTCTCAAGAACGCTGTTGTCTTTAAATTCATCAAATCCGTGGGAATAATTGGTCTTGAAGAGGAAGACGGTAGGTGTTGTTGGTGTCGCCAGGGGGAGGGGTGTTGTAGTTCACTAATGGAATAATCCAGTCTAATTATGTTAATTAATGGCAATTTGAAGTAATTGATTGTTAGTAAGGCAGGCGCAGAGCTTAATTACCCCGTGATGAATTAAGTAATATTACTAGCCTCGCTCCAACCTGCTTAATTAACGGAGTGATAGATGGGTCGAAGATGTTATTAAACGCAGAGTCGGCCTCGGTTTGGTCCAACCTACCTGAAGCCTGATTCAGCCTACATCTCTATCCTGCGGAGATCCACAGCTTGCCTAACTCTGCCCAAGCCTGATCGAGCCTGTATAAGCCTGCCAGATCCAGTCCCGGCCAACTCCAGAATGTTACAGAATTCCTCAACCTATTCAAGTCTGTCAGATGCCTGTCCAGCCTGTCCTACCCTGCATGCGCTACCCCCAGTCTTCGTGGTGTTGCTCGAGTCTAGCTCAGCTTACCTCAGCTTTCCTAATCCTGGTTTAACCTGCACCGGTCTGTCTCAGCCTCACGACCCAGCCTGCCCCTGGCTACCCCAGTCTGCCTCTAGCTGCCGCAGTCTGCTCCTAGCTGCCCCAGCCTGCCGCAGCCTGCACCATCGTACCCGAAGCTGCCTTTGCTGCCGCCGCTAAACACCAAACAAATAGAACTTAGGATAACATAAGTTCTTTTTCAACGAAGGATAATCTTACATGAGCACATTATCGCGAAATGTTCAATCTAACTGACTGTGAACAAACTGATATCCATGTCGTCCTAAGAATTAAATTACATTGGATATATAAACACATTTCTCATCAGCAGAATCGTGAGCTCACTTCTGAGAAACAATCTCACGATGCTAATCACAAAGTTAATAAAACCTGATTAAGGTTTGCTTCGTTGTTGGATTCAATATTTTTTTTAATCATACTACGAATCATATCAGGCCATACAGATTCATTAATCTGTGTGGCCTGATTTTAGTCGAGCCTAATTTAAAACACTTTCGCGCTCTGGGGTCGTAAATGTTTTTGGGTCAGAACATGTTTTGGGTTGCAATTTTAATGGAATCCTATTCTATTAATGATAGAGTTGGTGTGGTTGGAAGTCACTCTTCGATTTAAAGTTCATTTGTTTCGGATTAATCAATTACGGGGATTACAATTGTTTGTGTTGATGTCATATGACTTGATTTTATTGCTTCACTTGATTGACTGATCTTAGATATCTTAGACAGTTTTCCCCCCTCTCACTCCTGCCCAAGAACTTGGACTGGACGGTAGCGTGACTGTCATTCTTCTTGCAGGTCGGCGTTCAATCCCCGACCGTCGAAGTGGTTGGGCACAATTCCTTCCCTCGTTCCCATTCCAAATCCTTGTCCTCATATCCCCTTCCAAGTGCTATATAGTCGTAATGGTTTAGTGTTTTTTCCTTGAAAGTTACCTTGCTTCCTCCTCACTCCTGGAAACTTAGATCAGTAAGTTATTAAGTTTGCCAAGGTAACTTAAGTGCGTGCTGGTCGAGTAGGGTTGTTTCTGACTAGGGGGAACGTGGGCAGTTTTGTCCAGTAGTAGGATCCAGTGTCCAGTGATCAGTTATGTCCATATGATAGGTTAGCTTAGGTTTATTTTAGGACAGGTTAGTTTACTGTAGGTTAGATTAACTTACCTTACTTAATCTACCGCCACACACACATAGTTAAGGAATAATCTATCATGTTTTCTAACTTGTTAGTACACTTTACTCCCATATGGTTGCTTAAATATAAAAAAAATTATGCGCCGATAATTTCTGTATCGTTGTATTGGTCACGGTATATCATCCGCTATGTGTACGTATCCTCTGTGTCTACTGGTACAAGTCTCGGTGTACGTATCCTCTGTGTCTACTGGTACAAGTCTCTGTGTACGTAGCCTGTGCACACAGCAACACTCACCAGTGACGTATATACGTGCAGCGTTGGCAGACTCGTGCGTGGCGCCGGTGAGGGTGTGCACGGCCCGGCACCGGAACGACAGCTGTGAGTCTGACGACCGCACATCTCGTACCACCAGCTGCCCTGTAGCCACCATCTGTATCCGACCATCTGTAAGGAGAGAGGGAAACTCAGTCATCGACTCTTAATCAAAGTTTGTTCGAGAGAGAGAGAGAGAGAGAGAGAGAGAGAGAGAGAGAGAGAGAGAGAGAGAGAGAGAGAGAGAGAGAAAGAAAGAGAGAGATAGGTAGTGGCCGTGGAGTGTCTCAGAAAGGAAGGACTCCTGGTAATGGATGGGAGGAAACTGTTGATTTACTGCCGCCAGTGTTGAGGTCAGACTGGGGTCTTGTGTCTCCCTCCCTTTCTCTCCCCCCCTCTCTCTCTCTCTCTCCCCCAATGATTTTATCGTCTGTTCTTTTCATCTATTGTATTTATCTGAAATTTCTTTTCCCTCACATCGATGCCATCATTCCATGCGCTAGCAGCACCACACACATGTCTTGTGATCTGCACTTGCAGCATCACAGACATTTCGTGTGATCTACACCCGCTGCATTACACACATCTCCTGTGATCTACATTAATAATATCACTCACATTTTCGGACTGTCTGATGCAAAACTTCCTATAAATTTACCTTACACTAATAATAATTTAATTCTTTATACTCCTCTTGAGATTTTAATCCTCCTCTATACTGATTTATTTTCATTCTAACTTTAATTGCACTAGAGTTTGCTTACTTAAATTTACTCGTCTTCAGTTCATTTTACCCAAAATGACTTTACTTTGGTTCAAGTTCAAGTATGTTTATTGAGATAAGCAAGAAATACATCTCAAAGGGATAGAGTAGCTTAGGCTATTTCTACCCCCCTTTACTTTGGTGTACTTCCTTTGAACGATAAATCCTTCAGACGCCCAGCATGTGAGTGTTGCATCGGCTTCAGTGGACTCCTAGTGGCCACCTGCCTTGAGGGATTTGTGGATTACCTGGGGGGAATGGGGAGGGATGGGGGCTCCCTTGGAGATGTGTGTGGAGTGAAGAGGGAAGGAGGATTAACTGCTCCCCTAGCAGGGCCTCCTATCCTCCAGCAAATGGGAGTCAGTGCCGCGTGGGTGACTGTTGAGGCCAATCTGACCACCCATTACAGGGTTGGATGAGCACTACTACTTGGTTCACTTGGGAGATCAGCATTTACAGGGATGCTGGCTCTTATCCCCTTCAGAGGTAGGTGCTCTCCGCTTTATGTTCCTCAAGGGATAAAGGGATGAACACTTTTTTCTTCAAGTAGCATAAAGCTGTCTAAATATATATTCCGTAAGAGTTCATTCTGTATAACTTTATCCTTTGGAATGAAAAGGATGCCTAACATGATCCGTATGGGCACATGGAGCTGCTTGTGTTAATTAAGTGTTAATAGCAATACAAATTAGAGTTATGAAATTTGCCAAGAGACAAAAAACTTCCTAGAACTGAAAATGTAAATAATTGTTACTGGAGTTCCATATATTAGATCAATTCTCCAGTCACATGAAGTCCTTATCATTAGTCTATTTTGTAAATTTATTAGAAATCTGATGAGTGACTTAAAGCTCTTTAGGCATTATTATGATTACTTTCTGAGTTCCTGAACAACCAGGATTGTCAAGTGATATAATAATAGTGGCAGGAGTGGCTCTACTGTCACAGTCTCTGGAGTTACTCACCAGCGTTCTGGGAAGGGTAGTAGTTAGTGTGGCCTTGGGTCCAGGAGGTGATGCTGACGAAGTCCTTGACGAAGGGAGGCACCTTGCACTGCAGCACGGCCGCGTTGCCCTCCACCACGTACTGGTTGTACACCTGCACCTCCCAGTACTGCTCCACCACTGTGGGAGATTATGACACCTGCACCTCCCAGTACTGCTCCACCACTGTGGGAGATTATGACACCTGCACCTCCCAGTACTGCTCCACCACTGTGGGAGATTATGACACCTGCACCTCCCAGTACTGCTCCACCACTGTGGGAGATTATGACACCTGCACCTCCCAGTACTGCTCCACCACTGTGGGAGATTATGACACCTGCACCTCCCAGTACTGCTCCACCACTGTGGGAGATTATGACACCTGCACCTCCCAGTACTGCTCCACCACTGTGGGAGATTATGACACCTGCACCTCCCAGTACTGCTCCACCACTGTGGGAGATTATGACACCTGCACCTCCCAGTACTGCTCCACCACTGTGGGAGATTATGACACCTGCACCTCCCAGTACTGCTCCACCACTGTGGGAGATTATGACACCTGCACCTCCCAGTACTGCTCCACCACTGTGGGAGAAGCCTTTCCTCCTAAAGATGGAATTAAGGGGAAGGTATTGCTAAATAGCAAGGATTAAGAGAAAGAAAAGGTGGACATAAGAAAGAAGATCGGGTGGGGAAGAGACAAGACTGAGGAGTTTGGAAGAGCAATACTGGTCACAGTGGCAAGAGAAGGATGATCGGATGGGGAAGAAGAAAAGAAGTAGGGAGAGGAGGTGAAGAAAGATAAGGAAAAATAAAAAAAAAGAGCGGGAGGTGAAGGAAAAGGAGGCTATATAGAGAGGAATAAAGTAGAATTATTATGTTAGCAGGCATAAAAGGCGACAGAGGAGCAAAGAGAAGAAGAGAAGGAAAGGAGAACACAGGAAAACAAGAATGAGACGAGCCGGCCAGACATCACTTACACCAGAGCAAGACAAGAGGTCCAGAGACGAAGTTGGTGGCAGCAAAGACTTGCACAGCCATCACAAAGAGCCCCAGCACCGGCTCAAATAGCACAGTGTTGTTGAAGAGTTGACGAAGGAGGAAGACAAGGACACGAAGAAAGTATAGGTCTAAGAAATAATGGTGGAGAAGTAATGGTAGAGCTCTGTATATCTCCCAGACACACAGTCACCCTAAGTCAAAGGTACTCCATGACCCAGAGACGCTGCCTGATATCTGTGTACTATCCCAGGCAGGAGGTATGATATCTGGGTACTATCCCAGGCAGGAGGTATGATATCTGGGTACTATCCCAGGCAGGAGGTATGATATCTGGGTACTATCCCAGGCAGGAGGTATGATATCTGGGTACTATCCCAGGCAGGAGGTATGATATCTGTGTACTATCCCAGGCAGGAGGGATGATATCTGGATACTATCCCAAACAATGAAAAAGCAGTCTCTTAGACGCCCACCACCGCCTCCTGTTGCACTATTGCATGGGTGTTGCATGGTGAAATGAGTCTTGAAATCAACCAGATGTTCAATCTCCGTTTATGCATATGCAACATTGATTGTGTATAGAGAAAAGTCTTTACCTCACCATATCCAGCTGGTTGTTGAGTATGTTATAATGCCAAGTGTCGTATAATGCCGGGTGTGGTATAATGTCGGGTGTGGTATAATGTCAGGTGTGGTATAATGTCGGGTGTGGTATAATGCCGGGTGTGGTATAATGTCGGGTGTGGTATAATGCCGGGTGTGGTATAATGTCGGGCGTGGTATAATGCCGGGTGTGGTATAATGTCGGGTGTGGTATAATGTCGGGTGTGGTATAATGCCGGGTGTGGTATAATGTCGGGTGTGGTATAATGTCGGGTGTGGTATAATGTCGGGTGTGGTATAATGTCGGGTGTGGTATACAGGTGTGGACAACACCTGACCAGCACGTATTGACGCCGCGAGCAACAGCCATCAGGTATTAATGCTCAAGTTTATAGAGCTTCCGTACCTAAGGTACCGAAGTCGTTATAATGAAAGGCAACACTAACGACCTTGGCATGCTTAGAAAACTATTAACTGTTCATGTTAAGATTAATATGGAAACACAGAAATCACATTAATGTGATATATATCAATGAAAAAATCCACTCGGGCAGTTCAATGAGGCTTGACATTGCCTTGGTCGTAGGTTCGCGCCCACCTCACTACCCTAGTGGATGTTCACATTAATATGGAACATTTTGACCAGACCACACACTAGAAGGTGAAGGGACGACGACGTTTCGGTCCGTCCTGGACCATTCTCAAGTCGATTGTGATGAGGAAATAGAGACAGACAAGTTCTAGTGTGTGGTCTGGTCATCGTACTTTAGCCACGTTATTGTGACTCATCGTCTGTATATGGAACATTTTGTTATGTAAAAGTTCTCGTGTTTTCAAGTTCTATTCTTTCCATCATCCAGCCTCGTCTAAAGAGCAGCTTCCTGGAGTGAGGGTGGATGAGGGAGCAGCCAGCCTTGGACCGTGGGAACAATGCTGCCTGTCGCCACCCACAGACACACGCCGCCCCTCCTTGAAGGAATGTCCACCAAGAGTGGACCCGGACACACTGCTGCCGTGAAAGGTACTTACAACAACATAGTCTTCTTGCCTCCCTGTCTCTCCTTATTTCTCTCTTTCTGCCTGTTTTTTAATTTTTTCCATTTGATTATTTCATGATTTTCGTACATGGCGATACTTGCTAAAACTGCTTACGTTCTTTGTGGTCTGAACAAGTGCAGTGAATAAACAAGAGACATTAATAATTAATTACCTAATAATAAGACAAAAATAATGGTAACAAAACCTGAAAACTTGGCTTGACACAATTACTAGCAAAAAAAAAGGGTGACTACACTATTTACAGTGTGCAGTACTTCCTCCATCACACGTTCTAGTCGACATATCGAGTGAGGGAAGACGTATGACCCAAGAGAGAACCACAAAGAGAGAGACCAAAGAGCCAGAGCTCAACCCCCGCAAACACAACTAGGTGAGTACAAGTTGTGTGAGTACTGAGTCGCTGGCTACTGGTTATATTCACCGACGGTGACGTCATGCTGGCGTGTAGCTGGAGTTGAATGGTCAGCCGGCAGAATAAGGGTCGTTCACGGGTGTAGGACGAGCACCTGGCGTGTCGGGCTCTCGGACAGTGCAGGAGGGACGACCATGGTGGAGTGTTGCAGCCGTCTGGCTCCAAGTTGGAGTGAAGTACGTAGCATGATGGTTTTGAAGGAGGTATTAAGAGGCTTCCACTGTTATGCAAGCTTCCAGGATTCGAACCCATGACTCCAGGATCACCCCTAAACGTACTCAGTACCATGGCCACCGCACCATTGATCGTCTTGACTATACTAAATGTTGGATTAAGCGAGGATTGTTCGTCCAAGCGGTCACTGAGACCGAGTGTCGGAGGAGGCTGTCATCAACTATGACTCATCTGAGTGTAAATAGTTGTACAGTGTTATATTTAGTTTACCCATTGGAGATGGGGTTGAGGGTTGATAAAATTGTGTCAGGGGAGGCAGGTGGTGTTAGTGGTGGAAGTTGCCAGGCCCGGGTCTGGCCAGAGTGATCTGCTGCCTCGATGCTTCACTCACTGGCTGCTTTTCACCAAATTAACTGAGAATATTTAACCAATCCAGTTGTTTGTAACACATCACTCTATCATATTCTGTGGTCAAAATGAAGAATTCATAATAAATGGTGGTATCAGTGGTGAGGTGATTGTATTAGGGAGTTATGAGGCAGCTAGCCTCTACCAGTCAATATTTAGTACTCAATAATACTCTACGTATATATGTACATTACTTTGTGTATTCGTTATTCATATTAATAAACTTTTTTATTTCATTTTATTATTTGCTGGATGTATCAGTATATAATTGTTGACATGAAATAATCTATGCCATGATAATGAACGCCTGCAGCGAGGCTAGGATGGGTGGGCACTTTACACTCAAGCTAGCAGTGTACGTCTGGCCTGGCCTGGCCTAGCTTGGCCTGGCCTAGCTTGGCCTGACGCATGGATTGGCCTGGCATGACCTGAGACCAGGCTGGCTTGGCCTGGCCTGACCTGGCCTGAAGCCTGGTCTTGACCGAGGTCTAATCTGGCCGGAGGCCTGCCAGCCTGCCCCCCCCCCCCCCCCGACCACCAGCGGCCCGCCAACCGCCTCTCGTCAGTTTGCTGAAAATTTTGCTTGATTGGATTCAATGATGCTCATATGTGTAGCATTTTTATACCAAATTGTTTGTAAGTGATTGTTCTATTAACTGCCAAAGGAAACATAAAGAATTAATAATAAATGGATTTTTTTATAAATATTTATATCAAGACTGTTAGATTATGGAAATCCTGGCCATTACGTCATATTTGCGGCCCCCAAAATAGTCACATAGTTATGATTTTAATATGAAATTGTTCACCAATGATTGTTCTATCATGTGTCGTGTTCTAAATGATAAATACATAAACATATTTTCTGTGATTTTTTGTTATAGTGGATGCAGGTCTTAGTTATTTTCACATGGAGGGGAGATAGCCTAGGGCTGACGGTGGAACGAACTCCGTGTGTAATAACCTCCTTGTTACATAATCACTCACCAAATCTGGAAACTATGCTCTGCCCTGAGAAGATATTAAAATCTGGGTTTTTGTTGATAAAAGTAGATTCTATTATTTTTCATTTGAAGCCACAGTGTTGGGGATTAATTATTCCAGAATTATCCCATATAATTTTATGATTGGTCTCACATGTTTATATAAAGCTGAACTTTCTTGGCCCCAACTAACAGACCTCTTGTGTTGGTTGATGTGGGTTTGAAGCTCTCTGCCTGTTTGGTCATAATAAACTTTGTTACAATCATTACAGGGAATCTCACAGACTAACGCCCTCAGCTTTATCTTTCTTCGTTTACTAATTCATCTCCAGCTTTATTTTGGGTAACTAAAAAATAATTTTCATTTTACTTTACCCATTTTGCTCAGGTTCATCACATAACTTTGCTTAAGTACCGTGTTGACGGCACACTTACTGGCTTTATAATGGTAGATATACCATGTGAGAAATATCGAGAGTACAGTGTTATTAATCATTATTAATATGGAGTTTAGGAAGAGTAAACGCGGGGCCCCAAAGTGTCTGTTATGGGCGCCATGAACACGACCTGCATGGCTGCTCCAGCCTGCAGTGCTACCACACCACTACTTATGATTCGCATTTGATTATTTTAGTAATATTGATTATTACTTGTTAAATTATGCCTTAGCTTAGTGTTTAGGTGTTTTAGAGTTAATACGCATATTATTACTAAAATAACAATTCAAATAAATTAAGCAGCTTACTCTTAAGCTCTCGGTTGAGTAGAGAGTGTGGAGGCCATCTTTGTTGTTGCTCAGCCGAGGGCAGGTGCACACAACTTCACCTCTGAGAATTACCGACTTTTATGCACTGTTTGATAATCTAAGTATTAAGGACGCTTACCTCTGAATAGGAGTTTAGTAAGTGTTGTATAATCATAATAAATAGTAGCCAAATACGTTGCCACTTGGCTACAGACATGAACTAATTGTGCTCCTTCAACAGACGTGACCAACTGATCCGTCTAAAGCACAGTTGACTCGCTCATCAGATCTCAACTAAAGCAATAAAGGTTAGTTTGTGGCTTTTCGTGTTTTTTATAGGTTTGACGTCAAATTACTACTATTGTGCATGCCATTAATCACTTGTTATCTTGGTTATCTTGAGATGATTTCGGGGCTTTTAGTGTCCCCGCGGCCCGGTCCTCGACCAGGCCTCCACCCCCAGGAAGCAGCCCGTGACAGCTGACTAACACCCAGGTACCTATTTACTGCTAGCTAACAGGGGCATAGGGTGAAAGAAACTCTGCCCATTGTTTCTCGCCGGCGCCTGGGATCGAACCCGGGACCACAGGATCACAAGTCCAGCGTGCTGTCCGCTCGGCTGACCGGCTCATGTCGTGGTGCCACAGAGCACCTCTTATAACACGGGGTCTTAACCCCCCCATACCTGGTAAATTGAATACTGAACTGTGACACAATACATTAATAATGATATCAAATATGTTCAATTTATCCTAATTAATTCAAATCTTTATGATAATGCATTAGCCTAGTATACACAAGTGGTGGTGCTCCTGTTTACTATAACTTACTAAGAGCTCAACCAGCGCCTCGCTGCTTATAATCTAAATGCGAACAAGCCTGAATGGTCCCCAGGACTATATGCAACTGAAAACTCAATGATGTAAATCATTGTAGACTAATGCGGAGCCTCCCGGCAGGTGTGAATGGTGTGTATTCCTGGATAAGAGGAGCGACTACCCCCCCGGGAGTGGACCACAGCACGGATGCTACGCGCCAATCTTTCACCTAAGGTAGAATTCTATTTTTGTTTAATTTAGTATAACAATGTTATAGTGAGAACACAATCTGTTCTCACTATAACAGATTGTTCTCATTATAACACATTTTCTCACTATAACAATGTTATAGTGAGAGTTAATACCTGATTATTTTTTTTTAGGTGGTTTCATTGCGTAATCATTGTAGTCAAAACTCCATAACCACATATGCTCTGATCCTTTACAATTAATTGTTTTAATATTCAAGTATTCAATTGGATTTTTATATGAATATTTAATTTCATGTTCTATATAAGGAGTTGAGATGAGATTGTTGAGAGGCAAAAATTCCTCATACTATGTTAATGGAACACTTACTGGCCAGGTATGGGTGGAACACTTGCTGGCCAGGTTTTGGTGGAACACTTGCTGGCCAGGTATGGCTGGTTGTACCATGTTGGTGGAACACTTACTGGCCAGGTATGGCTGGTTGTACCATGTTGGTGGAACACTTACTGGCCAGGTATGGCTGGTTGTACCATGTTGGTGGAACACTTACTGGCCAGGTATGGCTGGTTGTACCATGTTGGTGGAACACTTGCTGGCCAGGTATGGCTGGTTGTACCATGTTGGTGGAACACTTACTGGCCAGGTATGGCTGGTTGTACCATGTTGGTGGAACACTTACTGGCCAGGTATGGCTGGTTGTACCATGTTGGTGGAACACTTGCTGGCCAGGTATGGCTGGTTGTACCATGTTGGTGGAACACTTACTGGCCAGGTATGGCTGGTTGTACCGTGTTGGTGGAACACTTGCTGGCCAGGTATGGCTGGTTGTACCGTGTTGGTGGAACACTTGCTGGCCAGGTATGGCTGGTTGTACCATGTTGGTGGAACACTTGCTGGGCAGGTTTGGGTGGTTGTACCGTATTGGTGCACCACATACTGGGCAGGTCTGGGTGGTTGTACCGTATTGGTGCACCACATACTGGGCAGGTCTGGGTGGTTGTACCGTATTGGTGCACCACATACTGGGCAGGTCTGGGTGGTTGTACCGTATTGGTGCACCACATACTGGGCAGGTCTGGGTGGTTGTACCGTATTGGTGCACCACATACTGGGCAGGTCTGGGTGGTTGTACCGTATTGGTGCACCACATACTGGGCAGGTCTGGGTATGTTTGGGCGGAGTCTCTCTCTTGATCTCAACCTATTGTGGGCGAGTGATTTCCTTGCATTTATTCCCCGCAAGAGTGCCTGGACACGCTCCCAGCCGACGTGTATGTGGGTTGGTCACGCTCGCCACGCTGGAGGGAGCTGAAGAACGGGGGAAGGTGGAGGAAGATGATAACGAAGAGATGACGGAGGAGCAGGAGGAAGAAGTGTAGGAGAGGAGGAGGAGGAGGTGGATGCATACGGAAAGGAATCGGAGGAGAATGACAGGAGGAAAAGACTATAATAACAATCGAAGAGGATAGAAGAACAATAGGTAATTATATCTGCCTAAGCAGATTAGAGAGAGACAGACAGACAGAGATTCAGTGTGTACCAGACTCTTGATGACGTCATGTCTTCCGACGGACTAATGGTAAAAATGTTCAATCAGTCCACGATGGGGGGGGGGGGGGGCTGGGGTCCGTTGGGAGGGGAGTGTGCTGTTAATGGGTTCTCCTTGAAGATTGAGTGCGTCCATGGGGGTGCAGGTGCCCCAGGGAAGGGGTGTGAGGCGGGAGTGGGATTGCTGTGCTTGCAAAATATTCTTCTTCCTCATAATCAGTATTTTAGAAGTGCGGGCAGCCTGAAGTTCTTTTATCAGGGTCATTTTATTTATCTATTTATTTATTTATTTATTTATTTATTTATTTATTTATTTATATATACAAAAAGGTACATTGGGTTTATGAGAGTATTGATGTGTTTACATTCTTGCAAAGCCACTAACACGCATGACGTTTGGGGCAGGTTTTTAATCTAACGGATAATATTAAGTAAGTCATTTATAGCACAAATTGAAGAATATTAGCAGGTACATTGTAAGACAATTTGAAGAAAATTAATAGGTACATTATAACAAAATTTAAGGATTATCAACAGGTACATTTTAGCTTTATCAAAAGTACAGTGTAGTAAAATTTGCGTTCAACATAACCATGATATAAGTGATATGTTGACCAGACCACACACTAGGAGTTGAAGGGACGACGACGTTTCGGTCCGTCCTGGGCCATTCTCAAGTCGATTGTGATAGTGATATAAGTGATAGCAGTGATTACAATGGTGAAGTTGTATGGCTCAGGCACATATATTGGGGGAGACGGGGTGGCACAAAATAGTGCGGGTTTGAATCACTAGATAGGAAACTGTAAGGATGACATTAGGTACTTTTTGGTTTACTTTTGAATAATGGACAGTTTTTTAATTCGTTAGGGAGTTCCATAGACTACGTTCCTTTATTTGCATAGTGTTTACACTGATTTAGTTTGACTGGGGATATCAAAGAGATATTTATTTCTGGTGTGATGATTATGGGTTCTATTACATCTGTCAAGAAAGAGTTTCAGATCAGGATTTGCATTTAGGAACAAGGTTTTGTACATGAAAAATAGCACAAGAGAATGTGAGGAGTGAGAATATGTTTAGCATTTTTAAGGATTTAAACAGAGGGGCTGTGTTTTCTGAAAACAGGCTGTTATTGTTCTGATAGCAGATTTTTGCTGAGTGATGATTTGCTTGAGATAGTTTGCAGTGGTTGAACCCCATACACAGATAACCTATGTAAGATAGGGATAGATTAGCGCGTAGTATAATGAGAGGAGAGTAAAGTTTGAAACATGATATCTGATTTTAGAAAGTATACCAACCGTTTTTGAGAATTTTTTTGTGTTATATGTGGGTGCTGAAGTTGAGTCTGTTGTCTAAGTATAGGCCAAGGAGCTTTCCCTCATTTTTTTGCTGATGTTAACATTGTTTATTTGAAGCTGAATTTAATTTGATGATTTGCTTCGAAATAAGATACAGTAGGTCTGTTCTATGTTTAGTGTGAGGTTGTTGGTTGACAACCATGAGTGGACTTTTTGTAATTCGTTATTTACAACATTATTTAGTGTGTGTGGGTTGTATTACTTACCAATCGCTAAGTAAAACCTTAAGTGTGACCGACAAGCATTTGTTAATAACACAGTAATCTCATAAGACGCAAGACTCTACCAGAAAGTTCAACAAACGCGTTTTAAAGAGACGTTCAAACCGGCGCTGTCCTGAGTGACAGGTGAGGCCGGAGGGCAAGCGAGATCATCCTAGTGGAGGAACTCCTTGGTGCCACTCATCCCACACTGGAGGGCTGAGCCGCCTTGTTGACCACATTATGGCAGGACATATTACTTCCTTGGTGCGTGAATGGCAGGGGGGAGAGAGCCAGCGAGACACATATACGGATGTAGTCAAGCATTACAAGTAGACCACGAGATCCAAGCGGATACATACAATAAAATACATATATACAAGAATACATATTCAAATTAATATTTATACAGACTAATATTTATGCAAAAAAATATTTACACAAAGGTTTTAGAAAAAATGTTTAAACAGGATACATATAGAGCGGTATACATGATCTGGATGATACATTCTGCCTCTAATAGTTCCAGGGTGACACAAGGGACATGATGTCTTCCCTTATCTCCACATGTGTTCGCTCACACCCATCTAACATTTACTTCCATTTTGTACACCTGACATCAAATGTAATCTTAAACACAAGAGAGAAACTTTATAAGCTTTAAAATAAACCAAAAAATATAAAAATTATTTGAATAGTTCGTCTGTTTGATATTTTGTAAATATGTTGTGTAGGCTCAGAGAGATTATATACAAAGATTTGAATTATTATTCCTATTGACATTTTGCAAATAATTTTGTTTACAACTGGAATTTGTGCATTGTTCATATATACTTTTTTTATATAATTGTGCCTAAAATTTGGTATTTATGTTTTATATTTAGTCTGTATACAATTTATATATTTTTAAATCGTGCTGAACTGCGAGTTGAAATATTAATCACGAGTTTGAAAGAGCACATGGACAGCATAGTTTGCTATCGTATCGGGTTTACCCGCCCGCCACTCTACACAGCTGCCACCATAAATGCTTTTCAATATGTGATTCGAGGACAACGCGCGCCCACACACACACACACACACACACACACACACACACACACACACACACACACACACACACACACACACACACACATGAAATGCATTAGGAAGTGAGGTGGAGGCAGACTCCATACACAGTTTCAAGTGTAGGTATGATAGAGCCCAGTAGGCCCAGGAACCTGTACATCAGTTGATTGACATTTGGGAGGTGAGACCAAAGAGCCAGAGCTCACCCTAGGTGAGTACAACTAGGTGAGTACACACACATACAGATCCAAGAGACAACGCTCGAAGATGCAGGCACAAATAGGTGAGTATACCGAAGATGCAGGCACAAATAGGTGAGTATACACACACATACATATGGGGATCTCGCGGATGAACCGACAGCGATCTGGGGTCGTAGTCCTAAAGGCCAGGGTTCGATTCCCAGAAACAAATGGGCAGTTTCTTTCACCCTGATGCATCTGTTCACCTAGCAGTAAATTGGTATCTGGGAGTTAGGCAGCTGCTACGGGCTGCTTCCTGGGGATGTGTGTGTGTGCGTGTGTTAAAGAGAAATATGTAGCAGATATAATAGATATTACCGAGAAATAATGGATTGGTTAGAAAGGCGGGGTCCAAGAGCTAATATCTGGATGGTGTAGAGAATTAGTAAAGCCAGAGACCCACATACACATGTGAGAGTGAGCGGCCAGCAACATACCTGCTCTGACGTGGGTGTCGCGGGAGAGGACGACGCCAGCTGGCGACGAAGCTCTACACCTGTACGTGGAGGCGTGAACCGCTGCCCTGAACGACTCGCTGGAGAAGGGCAGGAAGAGCAGCGTCCCGTTGGTCAGTACCTGCGGCGGGGTCACAAGTCAGCTCCCGAGCAATAGGGTCTTATCAGGAGTCACGTCATAGCTTACAGAAAGGAGGCATCGCGTGTGTGTGTGTGTGCACGCCCCTGTTTGTACCTGCAGGATCGAGCATTGGCTGTTGGATCCCGGCTATCTACCCGCCGGTTGTTTAAAGCAATGACCCATGTCCTATTTCCCTATCATATCTACTTTTAAAATTATGAGTAGAGTTTGCTTCCACAACCTGCTCCTTAAGTTCATTACATTTTCCCAATACTCTTACGCTAAATGAAAGCTTTCTAACATCTCTGTGACTGATCTGAGTCTCAAGCTTCCATCTATGCCCTCTTATTCTATTGGTTTTCATTGTGAATATTTCCTCTTTTTACCATTATGTCAATCCCCATGACAGCATGGGAGGCACAGAGAGGGCGACTGTGCCACGCAAGTCCATACACCTGTAATTTTCACAAATTTATTATTATTATTAACAATTTTATTGACAAAATTAATTACAATTTTGCCTAATCTGAGGATTTTGATAGTCTTATTAAATTGAGGTTAATGCTAGTATTCACTGTCACGCAGGACAGAGGGTCATACATAAGACAATAGGTCTAAACTGTAGGCTGAAGCACATATATATCACGGTTACAATCAATGTTTTAATGTGTGGATATGTGAAAACAACTTTCTATTGTGCACTGCCACACAAGGGCAGGGATGGGTTCATAAGTGATGCAGCTTAGAATATAAGTAGAAATTGTTCTTCATTCTTTAAAATGGAGAAGCAAATTTTCACAAAATAGTTCTTTGGTGCCTAGGGAAGATGTTTAGGTTGGGTGCGCGATTGTGTACTGGGCGCTTGCTTGGGAGTACCAAGTGAGCGGGTTCGAACCCTCCTCACGGCTCCTACTGACTGTCTCATTGATACATCACGTTAATTGTGATTTCATTGTGAAATCGAAACTACGTCCTAAAGTTAGCATTAATAATTTCTAAAGAAAGAGAGCTCTGAGAACTTATGACCATTTTGGGTTATCCAGTAACTTTTGAAAAGCTGTTTTAATTGTGATACTATTAAGAAGTGTTTCAGTGTTTCTAGAGTATTTCATTAAGTAGGTACTCACTGCAAATACATTCTTTACATCTGCCAAAGTACTTTTCCTGGAAAAAACTTCATCCTGAAAGTAATGTGTTGCTAACAAGAATTATTCAGGTCTTACCTTTCACAAATCCTTAAGTCTTAAATTACGTTTGTTATTTGTGTTACCAGATATAACACACCGTTGATCCTCATGTGCTTGCCTTGTGGAGTGTCTTGCTTCCTAATGTTCAATGTAATCACTTGCATTACCTCAAATGTCCTTAATAGGCTTCGGTTTTGTCTTTTTTTCTCTGTGCATTTAAGTAATATTCCTTATAGGAGTATTGATGATACACCACTTCATCTCTTGGCATATGAGATACCACGTCCAGTAGGCTTGGTTTAGCTCCTCCGCTTTCTCATGTGTCAACCATAAATGTTGTGTTAAAAAGTTGGCATATGAGATACCACGTCCAGTAGGCTTGGTTTAGCTCCTCCGCTTTCTCATGTGTCAACCATAAATGTTGTGTTAAAAAGTTGGCATATGAGATACCACGTCCAGTAGGCTTGGTTTAGCTCCTCCGCTTTCTCATGTGTCAACCATAAATGTTGTGTTAAAAAGTTGGCATATGAGATACCACGTCCAGTAGGCTTGGTTTAGCTCCTCCGCTTTCTCATGTGTCAACCATAAATGTTGTGTTAAAAAGTTGGCATATGAGATACCACGTCCAGTAGGCTTGGTTTAGCTCCTCCGCTTTCTCATGTGTCAACCATAAATGTTGTGTTAAAAAGTTGGCATATGAGATACCACGTCCAGTAGGCTTGGTTTAGCTCCTCCGCTTTCTCATGTGTCAACCATAAATGTTGTGTTAAAAAGTTCCTTTCTATAACTTCCACTTATTTTGCTTCCCTACTGGGTTCCCTTCCCCACAATGGGGGATTTCTCGATTCCTAATCGATCTGTCAGGGATTTAGGTCCCGCCATTACTGTGCGTTTGTGTATTTACTATTTGTGTCTGTAGGATCGAGCTGTTAGCTCTTGGACCCCGCCTTTTTAACCGTCAGATGTCTAATGTACTGATTCCTGCCCTATTTTTCTTTTATCTTATCTAATACATATTTCTCTCTCATACACATATTCCCAGGAAGCAGCCCATAGCAGCTGTCTAACTTCCAGGTACCTATTTACTGCTAGGTGAACAGGCCATCAAGGTGAAAGAAACTCTGCTCATTTGTTTCCGCCTCCGCCGGGAATGGAACCGGGCCATTAGGACTATGATCCCCAAGCGCTGTCTACTCAGTCGCGAGGCCCCCACAAATGTGCTTGCGTTCGTGCGTGCGTATGTGTGCGTGCGTGCATACATATACATGTACGCCCGGCGGCTAATGCGCAGTCAGAAAAATATTCTCATTATTCACAGAAATACCCAGACCAAAATCAGCGTGGAATTCAGAGGGCACAGAGGCCGGCCGGCAGGAGGGGCCAAGCCACCGCTGAATACAAAGCAGCACCCAGCAAAAAATTCATATGAAATTCAGGGATAAGTTGAATAGATAGTCAAATAAATTTATGCAGTCCCTGTGTGTGTGTGTGCGTGTGTACTCACCTAGTTGTGTTTGCGGGGGTTGAGCTCTGGCTCATTGGTCCCACCTCTCAACCGTCAATGTACTGGTGTACAGATTCCTGAGCTTACTGGGCTCTATCATATCTACATTTGAAACTGTGTATGGAGTCAGCCTCCACCACATCACTTCCTAATGCATTCCATTTGTTAGCAACTGACACTGAAACAGTCTTTCTAGTGTCTCTGTGGATTATTTGG